ATGACTGATGTTTTGGATATATGCCAGTGGGTACAATCAGATGCCAACCTCTTCCGGGACTTAAGAAGTTGCTATAGGTCTTAGCTCTGCATCCTATCACAACCACATTAAAAGACAATCTTGGGGCTCTGGCTCACCCTACTGCATTCTCCTGAAAGTATAAAAATGTTTTTGCTTTAGTACCTTTTTGTTTTAATCTGGTAAACCATAGATTTTTGGTTGTAGAATGGATTGTTATGACCGTTATTACTTTTGGCCTTGAGAGCATGCCTAGACACAGACATATAGTGTGCGTGCAGACAAGCTTTGGTACCATCCACTTGCCATTCTATACAGCAACAGCTGATTGACCCTCTGGCAACTGATGTCGATTAAAATATTATATTATTAAATATTAGGGAGGAGGAATGCTATAAGTTGTATTGGGCACCACCAAGAAATTCCCACCATTTCCTGTTCCAATGAAAGCGTTGTCACCAGGTTAGGAAGCAAATGAAAAACTCATCAATGAAGACCTTACAGGGTTTGTGAAGGGTCCCATTGATCCAGATCATGGTATAGCTAATAATAGTTGGTCACATTCAACTGGACTTGTTCTCCAAGGTTGAAGAGGTTTCACAAATCATTTAAGTAAACATTAGAAATGAGGAAGCTAACTGGATGAGCGGTGAAATGTCTTCAACGTTATAAAAGAGGTCCAGTTAAAATTGGCCAGTTATACTTTAAATCATTCTATCATATGAAGGATGCTCAGACCAGGGGTGGACTGACAACTCATGGGGCCCCCGAGCAATAGGGGATCATGGGGCCCCTGTGGCCTCACCCACACTCAAACCACACCTAAAAAAGCCTACAGGTACCAGAGGCATTTCATGGGGCCCCCTACTGACCCAGGGCCCTTGGGCAGTGCCTGAGTTCCCAAATGGTCAGTCTGCCCCTGGCTCAGGCAGAAGGGGATTGAACATCTATCCAACATTTACCCAGCAAAGGTCAAGAGCCAGAAACAATATGCTGGACTGTATAAAAAGTTTAGCATTTAACAAAACAGGATTGTCACAATAATGGCCAGGGTGGAACATGAGATATAAAAAGAACAGCCTGACATACTGCAGGTCACAGTAATAAAGTCTCATGATACAAGAGAAATAAAGGACCAGGCAGCAGAATCCATAGGATGTATTTTTTTTTTTTTCTCATATCCAGGCTGTGCAGTCTGTGCTTTTCCAACATTAACAGAACCAAAATATTTACACGACTGGAAGACATCATTCTGCCTTCTGTTCTTCCCGGAGACAAGGAGTCACAACTTTCTGTTGCAGCAGGTTTAGATCCACACAGAGGTCTTTCCGTCCCCGGACCGGCTGCTGACGCTGCTCTTATTGGACCCTTTTTTGGATCGCTTCTCTTTGGTGGATGGTAGGTTACTCTGACTTGCATATGTGTGAATGGCTGTTTCCAGGCGTTCTTGTGCCATGCGCACTTCCCGATGAAGGTGTTCTAGGTCAGCGGGGAGAGTGTCCTCACTTGTTCCGTACTGCTGCTCCTGAGCTATGTTGGCCCTGTTCTGCTTGTATGCCATTTTGGCATTGGTCAGTTCTGTATAGTGCATCTGGTCTGGTTTCACAGCTATGTTGTATCCAGGTGGAGCTGAAGGAGTGTTCCATGAGATAGGATAGTTATAGGTAGAAGAATCATCTACTTGTTTCCCCCGGTTGTTAAGTGCGTCCCGTATGGTCCCAAAGCCAAGGTGGAGCATCTCCCAAACATTCAGGAGGAGGCACAGGCAGCTGACGCCATACATGATTAACAGGAAAAATGGTCTTTTCAGTAGGCCGGGATATAAAGCAGTCAACTGTGTGTGGACAAGGTTCTCTGTGGCACTCATATCTCTTGATAACTTCAAAGCCATAAAGCAAATACTGACCGGCCAAAAATCCCATCTCAAAAACTGTCCTGACAAGCAGCTGCAAGACATAAATCCTCAACAGCCCATCAGCTCGAATCCGCCTCCGCCCATCATGCTTAATCTTTCCATGGCTATGCTTTCCCCTGTCACTACCCAGCTCAGTCTCTGGGTACATCATGGGGTCTTCTTCATTGTCTTCTTCTACTTCCTCTACAGCCCGATTCTGCTTCCAGCGCATGGACAAGGATCTGAACTTTGCCTTCTTATCATACTCGTAGCGCTCTCCTCCATTTTTGCAATTTTGTGGATTGCGTAACCCAAATACAAAAGAGGTGGTGTGGCCACCAAGATGATCTGGAATACCCAGAAACGTACATGGGATAGGGGTGCGAAAGCATCATAGCACACATTCTCACAACCCGGCTGATCTGTGTTGCATTCAAACTTTGATTGTTCATCGTAATAAATGGATTCTCCACCGACAACAGTCAGAACGATTCGGAAGACTATTAGAACGGTCAGCCAGATTTTTCCAACAAACGTGGAGTGATTGTGGATTTCCTCTAGCAGTCGTGTCAAGAAGCTCCAGCTCATGTTGCCAGCTCCTCCTTGAATGTAGAACAGAGAAATCCAATGAACTGGCAAATATGTAATTGGCAGATGTAAAAATAAAAATAATAACTACTACTCGGCTAAAGCAGTCCAGGCTAAAGTATAAATAAAAATGGTTTCAAAACAATGCAATGATAAATTCGCTCAGTTGCTTAGAAAACCAAAGCCCAATGACAGCATAAATCTTTATAAATGTTGATTATGTTAGAAAGTCAACATCAGTTCATCCAGCCCTCATACATCTGTCTGTGGCCTGCTATTTACATATACAGTGGGGATCGAAAGTTTGGGCACCCCAGCTAAAAATTTGTACTAATGTGCATAAAGAAGCCAAGGAAAGATGGAAAAATCTCCAAAAGGCATCAAATTACAGATTAGACATTCTTATAATATGTCAACAAAAGTTAGATTTTATTTCCATCATTTACACTTTCAAAATAAACAGAAAACAAAAAAAATGGCGTCTGCAAAAGTTTGGGCACCCTGCAGAGTTATTATCTTGTACTGCCCCCTTTGGCAAGTATCACAGCTTGTAAATGCTTTTTGTAGCCAGCCAAGAGTCTTTCAATTCTTGTTTGAGGTATCTTTGCCCATTCTTCCTTACAAAAGTCTTCCAGTTCTTTGAGATTTCTGGGCTGCCTGTCACGCACTGCTCTTTTAAGGTCTATCCATAGATTTTCAATTATGTTGAGGTCAGGAGATTGTGAAGGCCATGGCAAAACCTTCAGTTTACGCCTTCTTGATGTAATCCCCCGTGGATTTCGAGGTGTATTTAGGATCATTATCCATTTGTAGAAGCCATCCTCTCTTTAACTTCAGCTTTTTCACAGATGGCATCAAGTTACCATCCAAAATTTGCTGAAATTTTTTGAATCCATTTTTCCTTCTACTCGTGAGATGTTCCCTGTGCCAGTGGCTGCAACACAACCCCAAAGCATGATTGATCCAACCCCATGCATAACAGTTGGACAGAGGTTCTTTTCCTAAATTCTGTGCCCCTTCTTCTCCAAACGTACCTTTGCTCATTCGGCCAAAAATTTGATTTTAACCTCATCGGTCCACAGAACTTGTTTCCAAAATGCATCAGGCTTGTCTATATGTTCATTTGCAAAGTTCAAACGATGATTTTTGTAGTGAGGACGTAGAAGAGGTTTTTCTTCTGATGACTCTTCCATGAAGACCATATTTGCACAAGTATCTCTTTATAGTGGAATAGTGTACCACAACTCCAGTGTCTGCCAGATCTTTCTGGAGGGATCGTGCAGTCAAACGTGGGTTTTGAATTGCTTTTCTCACAATCCTGCGAGCTGTTCTGTCTGATATTTTTCTTGGTCTTCCAGATCTTGCTTTAACTTCCACTGTTCCTGATGACTGCTATTTCTTAATTACATTCCGAACAGAGGATATTGACATCTGAAAACGCTTTGCTATCTTCTTATAGCCTTCTCCAGCTTTGTGAGCGTCAACTATTTTCAGTTTCAGTTTTCTAGACAACTGCTTAGAAGAACCCATAGTGCTGATTGTTGGGGCAAGGTCAGATGAGTCTGGGCATTTAAAACCTTTGAGATTGACATCACCTCGTCTTCCCAGACGATGATTGAGAACAATCCATGACACTGGCAGGTCTCAGCTTTGCAAAGGGGGCAGTGCATGCTATTAAATTCTGCAGGGTGCCCAAACTTTTGCAGATGCCATTTTTTTGTTTTCTGTTATTTTGAAAGTGTAAATGATGGAAATAAAATCTAACTTTTGTTGACATATTATAAGAATGTCTAATCTGTAATTTGATGCCTTTTGGAGATTTTTCCATCTTTCCTTGGCTTCTTTATGCACATTAATACACATTTTTAGCTGGGGTGCCCAAACTTTCGATCCCCACTGTACTATTGCACAGCTATAGTGCTACATAAATATATAAAATTAAAAATAAAAATACCTGCGCTTAGTTAAACCACACCAAAAATCTAATGCACCAAAACAATCCTTAATACCGGACCAAATTAAAAATGTGTTGACATTACCAATTCAGCTCCACCCGACGTGTTTCCCTGTAATAGGCATCTTCTGGGACAGGAGGCTCACTTTCTCAGAAGTCGCCTATTACAGGGAAACGCATCAGGTGGAGCTAGATTGGCAATATCAACATGTACTGGTGCGCTGGCATGTCCCGTGGCTGTGTTTTGTGAATCTGTACACGGCTTGTCACTTCTACACTGTACAGGGTTTACACTAAAAATGGAAACACTACATGATTTGCAGGTGTGAAAGTGATGACATGTTAAGCATTGAAAGTGGAAGTGATGTAACGTTCTTTGCTTCCGCTGTGTGATGAGACACCTAACAGGTGGGAAGCCTCACTTTTGTCATTGACTGAAAGCACTGCTAGTAACACGGAATCATGTTGGAGCTTATGAAGCTTCAAAAGAGGGAAAATTGTTGGGGCCTGCTTAGCTGGTGCCTCTGTGATTGAAGTTTGCCAATTTATTTGCAGCACTGTGAGGTACAGTATCAAAGGTTATGACGGCATATACAGTTTTCGGGACAACGTTGTCTGATGAGCATAATCGCAGTAGACATGGTCAACTGACTGAAAGACAAGAGGCCATTGTGCAGGACTGTGACCCAGAAAAAAGAAAACTGCAAAAGTGACTGCAGAGCTCAATCTCAGTCTTCACTGGACTCTGTGCAGGATTGTGACCCGGAATAAGAAAACAACTGCAAAAGTGACTGCAGAGCTGAATCTTGGTTCCTTAAAGAGTCCAGTGAAGACGGAGATTGAGCTCTGAAGTCACTTTTGCAGCGGTTTTGTTTTTTCTGGGTCACAGTCCTACACAATGTCTTTTTGTGTCTTTCGGCCAGTTGACCATGTCTACTGCGATATGTTCATCAGACGACCTTTTCCCGGAAACTGTATATGCCGTCATAACCTTTGATACTGTACCTCACGACACTGCAAATAAATTGGAAACTTCAGAGGCACCAGCTAAGCGGCACCAACAATTTTCCCTCTTTGAAGATCAGTAAGCTCTGACATGAGTTCGTATCACTAGCAGCGCACGCAGTGAATGACAAAAGTGAGGCTTCCCACCTGTTAGGAGTCTCATCACACAGCGGAAGCAAAACAGTGTTATATCACTTCTACATTCAAGACAAAACATGTCATCAGACCTGCAAATCATGTAGGGCACACTGGCTGTGCTCCGATTAGTCAAAGCAGAAGCCGATCAGTGGGTGCTGGGCAATACAGGAGTGCAGGCACCCGTTGTTCAGCAAGGAGACGCTCTGCATATGTAAGCAGTGCACAGCTCTGCATGGTCAGCAGGGATGTGTTAGATTTTGTTTCCCTGCAAAGCAGGGAATAAAATCCAGCACATCCATTAGTGAAATCAGCACACTGTACACACACGTAGGCACACATTTAACCCTTTGATCTTCCTAGATGATTAACCCCTTCCCAGTCAGTGTCATTAATATAGCTATATTTCGCACTGATCACTGTGTCACTGGTTCCCACAAAGTGTCAGAATGCCCACCGCAATATTGCAGTCCCACTGCAAGTTGCTAATTGCTGCCTCCGCTACTTAAAGTAGAAATGCCAGTATATATCGCATAGTTTGTAGACACTAACTTTTGAGCAAACCAATCACTATACATTTTTTTAACCAAAAATATGTAGCAGAATACATATTGGCCTAAATTTATAAAAGAAATTAGATTTTTTGAATTTTTTTTTTTTATTGGATATGCTTTATAGCAGAAAAAAATACTGTTTTTTTTCAACATTTTTTGGTCTTTCTTTATAGAGCAAAAAATAAAACAAACCAGTGGTGATCAAATACCACAAAAAAAGCTCTATTTGTGTGAAAAAAATGATATAAATGTTATTTGTGCAGTGTTGCATGACCGTGCAATTGTCAGTAGTGCAGCGCCGTATAGCAAAAATGGCCTGGTCATGAAAGGGGGGGGGGGGGGGAAGGGTAAATCTTCTGGAGGTCAAGTGGTTAAGGCACCTGCAGAATAAGTGGCGCCTGGATTATTTATGGACTTTATTGTTTTACTTCTGACAAATGTTTATTTGGTATGAATATTGATCTCACGCTCATACTGCAAGTAAGTATATTAGAGTGGATTATTGTGGATTATTTATGTTTATATTGCACAGGTATACTTGTATTCAGAGATTTCTTTGTATAAGCTCAGAATTTAAAAGGGGCAAGCGCACCTCCTTTGTACATACCAGGGGCGGACTGACAACTCATGGGGCCCCCGGGCAATAGGGGATCATGGGGGGCCCCTGTGTCCTTGCCCAAACTCAAAAAAAGCCTATGAAAAAGGTACCAGGGGCATCTCATGGGTCCCCTACTGACCCCGGGCCCTTGGGCAGTGCCCAAGTTTCCAAATGGTCAGTCCGCCCCTGGTACAGACATAAATATATAGCAGAACACCTTTCCTTAAATGCAAGGCAATGAAAACTTGTCAGGATAGAAATATGAAGGCTGTCACTGTTGACATGATATAAAAAGGTGGCGGGTGTGAGTTGATATCCTCATTTCTGCTGTAGTACATTTTGAGTTACAGACCTGTAACAAGCGTGCAGGTCGAGCGAGAGAATGGACTTCATTTTACTAGGTAGTGCAGCAAGGATGGGGATGGTTTTTCAGATAAGGAAGGTGTACACGAGACCAATCCAGAAGTTTTCTTGTATACAGTAGAATGAGATGGTTATGGTGCACCATTCTTGCTAAAACTGTTCAATAACAGGTACATTTTGGTAGCATGCAGGGGCGGACTGACCACTTGGAAACTCGGGCACTGCCCGAGGGCCCGGGGTCAGTAGGGGGCCCCATGAGATGCCCCTGGTACCTTTTTTCATAGGCTTTTTTGAGTTTGGGCAAGGACAAAGGGGCCCCATGATCCCCTATTGCCCGGGGGCCCTGTGAGTTGTCAGCCCGCCCCTGGTAGCATGACTTCAAATGATTATA